CTGGGTGGGAGTTGCACTGCCGATTAGGGATCACATCACAGCTGTGTTGAGGGAGGGCACATTGGAGTGATCTTGCAGTGAGGTATTATGGGTGGAGCTCAGGAATAGGAAGAGTGAAATCACAAAGTTGGAGGTTTTCTATAGACCTCCCAACAGCCCACGGGAGACAAAGGAGCAGATATATAGTCAGGTACTGGAAAAGTGTGAAAAGAGCAGGGTAGTTGTGGTGGGTGACTTCAACTTTCCTCTTATTGACTGGGACTCCCTTAGAGCCAGGTTAGTTGTGTCCAGGGGGGCTTTTTGAGGCAGGATGTTGACAATCCAACCAGAGAGGAGGCCGTATTAGACTTGGTCCTAGGGAATGAGCCAGGACAGGTGATTGATGTTTCAGTAGGAGAGCATTTTGGGCTTATACAAGTCCCCAGGACGAGATGGGATCCACCCCAGGCTACTCAGAAAGGCAAGGGAGGAAATAGCTGGGGCATTGGCAGATATCTTCACATCCTCATTGACCACAGGTGAAGTTCCAGAAGACTGGAGATTAGCAAATGTTGTTCCCTTGTTTAAGAAAAGATGCAGGGATAATCCAGGAAACTACAGGCCAGTGAGCTTGACGTCTGTGGTGGGGAAGCTCTTGGAGAAGATACTGAAGGTCAAGATGTACGCACATTTGGAGGAAAATGGACTAGTTAGTGACAGGCAGCATGGTTGTGTCTGGGGAAGGTCATGTCTCACTGACCTGATTGAATTTTTTGAAGTGGTAACAAGGGTAATTGATGAGGGAAGGGCTGTGGATGTAGTTTATCTGGACTTTAGTAAGGCATTTGATAAAGTCCCACATGGCAGGTTGGTACAAAAACTAAAATCACAAGGGATTTGGGGTGGGCTGGCCAGACGGATAGAAAACTGACTTGGTCATAGAAGAGAGGGTAGTCGTGGAAGGATGCTTTTCAGAATGGACACCGGTAACTAGTGATATTCCACAGGGGTCAGTCCTAGGTCCTTTGTTGCTTGTAGTATACATAAATGATCTGGAGGAAAATGTGGATGGTCTGACAAGCAAGTTTGCTGATGGCACGAAGATTGGTGGAGTTGCTGATAGTTCCAACGTTTATGAAAGTATACAACAGGATATAGATAGATTGGCGAACTCGGCACAGAAATGGCAGATGGAGTTTATTCCAGACAAATGCGAGGTGATGCATTTTGTAGGATCAAATTTAGGTGTGAATTATATTGTTAATGCCAGAACTCTTCGGAATACTAACATTCAGATGGATCTAGGCGTGCAGGTCCACAGCTCACTGAAAGTGCCAACACAGGTAGCCAAGATGATTAAGAAGGCATATGCCATGCTTGCCTTCATCACCTGAGGCGTGGAGTACAAGCCTTGGCAAAACATGTTGCAGCTATATAAAACATTTGTTATGCCACATTTGGAGTATTGTGTGCAGCTTTGGTCACCACACTATCAGAAGGATGTGGAAGCTTTGGAGAGAGTACACAGAAGGATCACCAGGATGTTCCCAGTCTCCAGGGCATTGGCTACGAGGAAAGGCTAAAAAGACTAGGATTGTTTTCACTTGAAAGACAGCGGCTGAGAGGAGACCTGATAGAGGTCTACAAAATTATGAGAGGCATAGATAGGGTGGATAGTCAGAGGCTTTTTACCAGGGTTGAAGTTTCAATCACAAGGGGGCATAGGTTCAAGGTCAGAGAGGGGGAAGTTTAAGGGAGATGTGCGAGAGAGGTTTCTCATGCAGGGAGTGGCAGCAGCCTGGAATGCTTAACCAGAAGACGTCGTGGAAGTAGGCACATTGAAGACATTTAAGAGGCACTTAGATGGGTACACGAACAGGGAGGGAATAGAGGGATATGGATCGAAAAATGGCAATTTTGTTTTTAGATTAATTAGCGCATGATGGTCAGCACAGACGTGGAGGGCCGAAGGGTCTGTTCCTGTTCTTTTTCCATTTGTTCATTTGTTTGTTCTAGATTCTTCCACAAGGGAAACACTCTTAATGCACCTATTCTATTATGCATCTTCAGGATCTGATAAGTTTCAATAAGATCGCTTCTCACTCTTCTCAACTCGAATGGTTATCTGTTTAACCTGTCCAATTCTTCTTATAAGTTAAACCTCTAATCTAGTAATCAGTCGAGTGAACATTCTCTGAATTACCTGTCATGTAAATAGGTACTTCCTTTCTAAAAAAAATTTCTCCAGGGTAGTATCCTCGGCACAACCATCTCAGCTGCTTCATCCATGACTTTTGTCTAGGGCAAAGGGTATGAATTCCCAAAGGAAACTGTTTTCTCTTCTGTATTTAAATATGTAACTTCTGTTTCTTTTAAAACTGGACTAGGTTGCTGGACTCGCACAACAGTCAAAGCTGAATACGATCATATTTCCAGAAGCTTCTGTACTTTCTGCAGTGCATAGAGATACCAACTAAAGGTGACACAAAGGACTTGGAGATGAATCATCTGCTTCCAGCCAGCTCTAGGCAAAGAACAACATCAAGACCTGCTCTGCTAAAACGGGCAACCATGAGAGGCAAAACCAAAAGAAAATAAACAAATATGAAAATTTGGCCAGAATCCAAAATTTTAAAATGATCCTGAATTGGATTGAAGGAAGTCAATTAGAAGTCAACCGGAAAAATTCAGGTACTCAAATTACTTGTAAAACATAGTTAAGAACGACAGTGAAGCCTTCTCATATAACACTACAACAATAGCAAATTTTGATGGAAAGACATTTCTAAAGCAATGAAATCTGACTAATGAAATTGCACACAACCAGTTAAAAGCAGTAGCTAGGAAACAAAAGTCAAAATTACCTAGGAAAAACAAAAGGAATGAAATGCTCCAGGTTCTATTTGAACACCTTAACCTGAGCATAACGATTGCTGAATCCCCACTATCTACATCCCAGGGATTACCACTGACCAGAAACTGAACGGAACCAACCACAACAACAGGTCAGAGACTGAGATTTCTATGGCAAGGAACTCACCTCCTGACTCCTCAACATTTGTTGACAATCTACAAGACACAAGTTAGGAATGTGATGAAGTTCTCTCCAACTGCCTGGACGAGTGCAGCTCAAAGCCACACACCATCCTGATTTGAAATGAGATGAGTGTTCATCCGTTGTCACTGGGTCAAAATTGAGGAACTTACTTTGTAACTCCACTATTCCAAAGTGAGATATACCTACACCACCTTCATCCATAGACATGAGTGGTTGAAGAAGGCAGCTCACTATTCTCAAGGGCAATCAGGGTTGGGAAATAAACACTGCCCTGGCTACCAATACCCACATCCCATCAACAGGCTCGGTTAGAAAACAAGAGACCAAGACAATACACAGTATCTCAAACCATCCCCTCACCAATGCCCTGTACAAACTGTCAGAGAACTTACCTAATTTTATGTTCCATTCCCTTTGCAATAAATAACAACTTTCCATTAGCCTTCCTAACCACTTGGAGTAAACTGTGTTTGTGATTCATGTGTTAGGACACCCAGATCCTCTTGCACTCAA